TATTTTTTCATGTTTGACCGCTTGTAAAAAATCTTTATTGTTAACAATTGTATCATATTAAAGGTATAACCCCAGCAGAATTTAGTTATGTTTAATTAGCCGCAAACTTGAAGTTGATTGGTCAAATAATTTAGACGCTACAATGCCCACCAGTTTGAAAAATATTGTTTCGAGAAAAACGTGTTTAAAGTTTTGGGAACATTTTGAGGCATTTTTATGTGTAATAATTGTCTACTCTAAAAAATTCGATTCAATTTGCCTGAAATTCGTTACTCAGGGGTTTTTGGGGTCGCTGATTACGAATATCATATCAGATTTTTAAAATACAAAACAGCGGATCCAATATGGAGGACGACTTACGACCTAAGCGGTTCTCAGCTTCGGAACGTCGGTGAGTTCAAGACACTGTAGAAACGACAATATTCTTCGGATCGAAAAACGGCTTTACACACATATTCCACACATATATAGCTTTTAAAAAATGCAATAAAAAATCGATTTTTTATCACTCTCGCAATGGCAACTTCCCTTTAAGGGAAATACGAGTCATCAAGAAAAATCTAAGAATAGTAGAACCCATCATTTTAATAAGTCTGCTGATTTTTCAACAATAGAACCGGAAAACAAAGAGGATAAATCTGATTATACTCGTTTGATTTGCATCACTCGGCTTCGTCTCGTGCTGCAAATGTCACACTCGTATAATCACTCACTTGCAGTTGTATCATAAATAACTATTTTTTAAAAATATTTTTAATAAAAAAATTTATTTTTTGCAACACTAACCTCTAAAGTTAAATTTTACACACCGAAAATTGTGTGTAAAGAAGCTCTTTTTCAAACGGTGTGTAAAGTGATTCACTTTACGCACTGAAATTTATTTTACGCACTGAAATATTACTTTACACACTGAAATTTACTTTACGCACCAAAATTTCTCTCACATAATATAAGGATTGTTTTAGACCATACAAAACAACAAAATTAAAAAACGAACTTTACTATTAAATATATACACTAGTAGTATAGCTAGGGGGCTTCTACCCCAGGTTCTGATCTCGGCTAAATACCTGCAGTCGGTAACTGCTCGGTCGGTAATGCAGATTTCTACTTTATCAGCAGTCGGTAAGGTAGGAATCTGACCATAATTTCAACTCGACCGATAAGGTAGGAAACTGTTTTACCGACCGAACATTGAAGTTATTTTACCGACCATTTAATAGTTGGCGCTCACTTCAGAGTGTGTTGCCGACTTTAATTAACCTGTTTTATTAAACATTGAAGTTAGTTTACCAACCATTTCATAGATGGCGCTCACTTCAGTCGGTGGTTTTAAACTTTTTTACCGAATTAGTTCACCAACCACCCAATAGATGGCGCTCACTTTTATTATCAACTTTTTTTAGAAAATATTTTTTAATTAAAACTGTTTTACCGACCGAGTTAGTTTATCCGATAGGTGGCGCTTACCTTTCTTATCGACATTGTATTTTTAGATATTATTTTAAATTTATTTCCGCGCAACAGTGCTGCGCTCTTTACCTCATGGTAAAATTCTCGGTCAGTCGATAGTTGGTAACTGGTCGACGGAGCGTGCGAGCTAGTTGTGTACGGTGCCGCGCTAGTAGTGCCTGCGGTAGTGGTGGGGTACTGCCTATAAGAGTCGGACTGCTCTCGTGGATCCACATAATCTGTTCGAGATGAGCCACGAGAGCAGTCGCAAAATGGAACGGTGCCACTGCTGGCAGTGTGTTGAGGAACAATTGAGAAATGTAAGTACATAATAATTACTCATTAAATATATATAATATAATATATAATATAATATAAAATATAATATAAAATATAATATAAAATATAATATAAAATATAATATAAAATATCATATATTTTTAGAGAGAATATGAGCTTCTAGAAACTCCCCCCAATTCCCCCGCAGAAGGGGGTCTAGAGGTGGATGATGGCTTCTATGAGCTGTCTGCGGGGGAAAATAATGAGGAGCCACCACCGGCAGTAAGTATAATTAATTTTCAAAATTTAAATTTGAAATTAACTCTTTTTCTTTTTAGTTCCAAACTCCACCACCAGGGGAAGGGGGAACTCCCATTCCAGAGTCACCCAACTCCTGGGTGACTGAAATGGAGTTGCCGGTGGTGGTAATTCCGAGGCGCCGCCACCATCGCCACCGCCATCATCGCCGCCATCGTCGTAGCTTCCACTACCGTCACACTCATCGCCACCGCCATCACCTTTCCACCGGTGGGTATATTCTTACTACCAGGACGGTGTTGGTGAGGGTGACGGCAGTCGTGACTACGACGATGGCTTCATAGCTTTATGGAAAAAAATAAAAATAAAATAAAAAAATTTTCTTTACTCATCTCTTTGCGCATGCGCAGTAAGAGTTAGTCTATCTACGCATGCGTGAAAAGTTCAGAATATTAAATATATATATGGTATTGTATATATATATTTTAAAAATGATCGAGTTTACAATGTCTGCGCATGCGTGAATAGTATTCTGGGGAGGCCCATGCTATTGCGCGTGCGCGGTTATATTTAGCTATAAATACAAGGATTTCAAGCCGTGAAACTCATTCTATTCTGTGAGCTAGTGCAGCTTAGTCGCAGCAAAGCAAACTGTAATAGAGCGATCTTTTATTTATTGTATTTTTTCTTGCGTTTTGACATTTAATTTTATTTTATAAGTTTTTTTTGTGTGCTTGGTTCTTTTTTTACGTGTTATTAGATTAAGGATTAGTATATAAGTACGTTTTTTCTTTTTTTTTAATTTATTAATTATTCATTTTTTTCTTTATTTATTACTATATTTATTGTTCTTTATTATTATTATTTTGTTTATAAATTTTTTGTCCAGCTGGAATCTGCAGTCAATAGTTAAGTTAGAAATTAATGTTAATAAATATAACCCCATGCGTGCGAGTTCATATATCAGTTTACCCCCAAAAATAAGAGCCAAACATGCGTGTATTAATGTAGAAAATGAAAAAGATAATAAATGTTTTAAATGGGCTATACTTTCCGCTTTACATGACGTGTCACATCCCGAACGTGTGTCTAGTTACACTGATATTGAAAATGAATTAAATTTTGATGGTATTGAATTTCCTGTAGCGCTGAAAAGTATACCTAAATTTGAAATGCTCAACAATATCTCGATAAATGTATACGGTCTTACTAAAAGATATGGTAATTTCTCTGTTCACCCTCTTCATCTGACCGCAGAGAAGAGGGATCAGCATGTAAACCTGTTACATGTAGTAGATTATTATATAGATGAAAGTGTTAATGAAGATAATGTAAACAATGATTCTAACGATATTGATTTTATGAATTTCCACTATGTTTGGATTAAAAATTTATCGCGGTTAGTATCCAAACAATTGACTAACCATAAATGTAAAAAATATATTTGTGATCGTTGTTTACACTATTTTTCATCAGCGGAAAGATTGAATGTACACGATGAAAATTGTAAACGTATGAATGTATGTAGCGTAAAATTACCGAATGCTGAAAATTGTAAAATTACCTTTAAAAATTATGATAATAAGGAGAAAGTTCCTTTTATCATCTATGCCGACTGTGAAAGTTTACTTCTTCCCGTTGAAGAAGATACAGATAATTTAAGTAAAACTGAAATTTTCCAGCGCCATAAATTGCTTAGTATAGGTTATTATGTAAAATGTAGTTACGATGACTCATTGTCCGTGTATGTACCGTGTCCGAGGCAGGAAAATGATCCTGCCAAGTGGTTTGCTGACGAGTTAAGGCAATTTTCCGAGAAAATTGATAATGTATTTAAGAATCCTATTTCTATGGATGCCTTAACTCCTCAGCAAATCGCTGATTTTAAGAAAGCAAGCGTATGCCATATTTGCCGTAAGAATATATCAGCTAATGTTAAAAAGCTTCGCGATCATTGTCATCTTACTGGCAAATATAGAGGTGCTGCGCATGAATCATGCAACTTGAATTATCATGAGTGCAAAATCGTACCCATTGTATTTCATAATTTAAGTGGGTACGATGCACACTTTATAATTCATGCTGTATCGACGAGCTTTGAAGGTCGAGTTGACCTCCTCCCCTTGAACAAGGAGAAATATATCTCCTTTACGAAAAATATCAAGGGGAGTGTGGTTAAATTACGCTTCATTGACTCGTTTAGATTCATGGCAGCATCTCTAGAAAAATTAGCGTCATATCTTGACGAATATAAAATTGTTGAATCCGTATTTGCCAGTACGGTGACAGATCGCGAAAAAATTAAATTATTAACGAGAAAAGGTGTCTTCCCTTACGAGTATTTAGACTCGCGAAGTAAGTTGGATGACACCGAATTACCAGCTAAAGAGTGATTCTATAATACTCTCTATGATGCTGGTATATCCGATGGTGAATATGAGCATGCGCAAAAAGTCTGGTCTGAATTTAATTGTCAAACCTTTAACGATTACGTTCACCTTTATATGAAAACAGACGTGTTATTACTCGCCGATGTCTTTGAGAACTTTCGCGAACAATGTTTAAACGCGTACAGGTTAGATCCAGCACACTATTATACTACCCCCGGTTTAACTTGGGATGTTATGCTCAAATATACGGGCATAACATTGCAACTTATAACCGATATAGACATGATGATGTTTATTGAGTCGGGTATCAGAGGTGGTATTAGCCAGTGTTGTAACCGTTACGCTAAAGCGAACAATCCCTATATGGATCAGTTCGATCCTACGCAAGACACCCAATATATTATGTATTTTGACGCGAATAATTTATATGGTTGGGCAATGGCACAAGCGCTACCAATTAGTGGTTTCAAGTGGATTGCCAACCCAGACGAGACCTTTAACTTCAACGTACCCGACGACTCTTCAGTCGGGTACATGTTGGAAGTCGATCTCGAATATCCCGAGAGCCTTCACGATTCTCATAAAGACATACCGTTTTGCGCAGTTAATGCATAACCTCCCATGTCTAAGCAGGAGAAATTACTCACAACTCTCCTGCCTAAAGAGAAGTACGTGATGCATTATCGTGCATTGAAACAGGCTCTCGGGAACGGTCTCAAACTAGTAAAAATACATCGGGTGCTCCAATTCAACCAATCACAATGGTTGAAACCCTATATAGACTATAATACTGCCATGCGAACAACTGCAAAAAATGAATTTGAAAAGAATTTATTCAAATTAATGAATAACGCAGTGTATGGTAAGACCATGGAAAATGTTCGCAAGCATGTAGACATTAAATTGGTTACACACTGGTTCGGCAGATATGGTGCCGAAGCCCTCATCTCTCGGCCCAATTTCCACAGTCGTGCAATATTCGATGAAGACCTTGTGGCCATCGAATTACGAAAGACTGAGGTCCTACTCAATAAACCGATTTATGTGGGTTTAAGTGTGTTGGATGTCTCGAAAACGCTTGTCTATGACTTTCACTACAGTTACATGCTTCCGAAATATGGTGAAGCATGTAAACTGTTGTATACAGACACTGACAGTCTAGTGTACGTAGTGAAATGTCAAGACATGTATAAAGATATGAAAGAAGACATTCACAAGTTCGACACATCTGACTATCCGGTAAACAATGTGTATGGTATTCCGCAAGTCAACAAAAAAGTTCTCGGCCTAATGAAGGACGAGTGCAATGGTAAAATTGTTACTGAATTTGTTGGCTTGCGGAGTAAAATGTATAGCATACGCGTTGAAGGTGAAGATTTCGTTAAGAAAGCTAAAGGCATTGAAGCGGGAGTCGTCAAAAAGTCTATTCATTTTGACGATTACGTTGAATGCTTGCGTGATTTTAAGATTCAGACTAGAACTCAATACAACATTAGGTCACGGTTACATAATATAGAAACTGTTAAACAAGTTAAAGTAGCATTAAGTCCATATGACGATAAAAGATACTTGCTTACCGAGAGTACCGATACTCTACCCTGGGGTCACTACAGGATCCCAGAAATCGAAGAATTGTAAATATTTTTGTAAAATAAAATGTAAGGATTTTCATGTTAAATAAATGTAAAAAAATATTATAAATTTGATGTATTTTTTTATTTATAAAAACCTTGTATATACATAACTCATAATTAAAATTGATTTAATTTAAATATTAATAAAAATTTGATTTTTATAATTTTGTTCTAATAATAAACATTGACAATGCCAAATTCAAATATTAATCTCAAAATTGAAACAAGCAGAAATCAATTTGAAACAATTATCACAAAGTGAATTATTGATTCATTATTGATTCATTATTGATTCATTATTGATTCATTATTGATTTAACCTTAAATTATGTAAAATTACAACGTGCATATCATGAAAGTATGTTGCACTCTGTGGAAGATTTTATTCCAGGACTAGAGTTCTACAATAATGTTTAAATTATATTTTATTAAACAGTTACATTATAGAGAGTATTAAATTCACTTTGTGATAATTGTTTCAAATTGATTTCTGCTTGTTTCAATTTTGAGATTAATATTTGAATTTGGCATTGCCAATGTTTATTATTAGAATAAATTTTGATTTAAGTTATAAATTTGCTTTCTCTTCCCAAGTATTGTGAGAGTTATCAAAGCCAAGCCATTTGACTAGAACTTTATTTCCACGTGTCTTGAGAATTTTTTCAACCAGATAAATATCTGGATATTTTACTTTAAGGGGGGAACACCAGTTGTAACTCAAAAAATAATGCTTTTTTCAAGAATATTTTCCAAAAGAACAATGAATCTTTTTAAAGAATACTATTTATTAGTTAAAAGTACATGTAAAAAGCTGTAATTTAAAAGAAAAAAAAAATTTTTTTAACAAAAACTTTTGGAGATATGAGCCATTGAAGTGGCGTCTTAAGAAAAAAGGCGAATTGCGGTGACCAGCATTCTGCAAGTATACTTCGTCTGAAATACAAAAATGAAATTGATTTACATTTATTATAAGATTATCTAGTTCGTGATCGAAGGATTTAAAAAAAAAAAAAAATTTGACAAAATGGCGACCTGTCAAAGTCAAAAGTATGATTTTCGTTAAAAAAATACGGTCGATTTTCAGCTATATAAAAAAAAGTTTTGATTAAAAAAAAAAATCCTTCGATCACGAACTAGACTTATATGTGTAAATGAAGCACACTAAATTTTAAATAAATCGGTTTAATGGTATCCGAGTAATCGTGGTCACCGACTTGGAAAATGTCATTTTGAGAAAAACGCATTAAAAGTTTCAACTTACTTTTTTTTGTTCAGAAGAAATTTTGTTTCTAAGTTACAAAGAGTCATCGATTCCTGGACCATATAATAACTCTTCCGCAGTGGTTGCCGTTTCTAAATCATAGGAAAAGGCCATCTGTCGTTAGGGTCAGGTATGGCTGGCCACCTTGTATGAAGCCACGGGACGCGCCGCTGCAGTGTTCTGTATATCTCATTTATTTTTCACCGGATCAACTTTGAAATTTACAGACACATTTCTAAATATGTATACTTTAAGAAAATGCACCAAAAAAAAAATCGATATTTCGAAAGTTACAACTGGTGTTCCCCCCTTAAGAAGTTCCTCTGCATAGAATCCTCCACTAATGGGTTGATCTTGATAGTCTTTGAGTTTATAAGTTATAGGTTTAGTTGACAAGACTTGATCTATTGTGAATATTTCTGTTGTCCAATTGGGAGTGTAACCTTTCTCAAACACGCTTTTATACTTGCTGACTCGAACTTTGTCACCAATTTTAAACTTTGCTTTCTTTAAAGGTATTTTTCTTAGCTTCAAAAATCGTTCTTTCAAAATTTCAACATCTTCTGCAGTAACATCTTTCGGCTTCATTCCAATTGTCCGATGTTTAGTGTTATTATAATTGGAAATGAGAATAGGTAATATATCATACCATTTATAATTTCCACGTAGACTGAATTGCATCCACATTTTTCGTTTTAGAGTTCGATTAAATCGTTCAACAATAGATGCTTTCAAATTACTGAATGTTGAGTAGAAATTAATTTTATACATTTTCATTAAAACTTCAAACTGAGAATTATAGAATTCTTTACCTATATCAGAATGTAGATTTTTTGGAATACGTCCTTGTATGAATATGGATTTCATAGAGTTAGTGACATCTTTTCCATTTTTACTTTTTACAGGAACAGCCCAAGCGTATTTGGAAAATATATCTATAACTGTTAGTAAATACTTAAAACCTTTATTTACTTTGGAATAAGGTAACATTTCTACTAAATCTGCTTGCCAAGTGTCATCAATATCACGCATGTCGACTCGGCGGCGATGATAATTCCTCCTTGCCTGACTATGAAGTTCAGTCACTACTGTTTTCTTTTTGTTGTTCATTTTCTAGAGTACTCAATCGAGCATCCAATTGACTGATAATTTCAGCGTTTCGATATGATAAATCAGTATTTATTTCTCTTTCCAAGACTTTTAATTTTTCGTTTATAGAGTCTTCGAGAATTTTTAATAATATATAGTTATTATCAATTTCTTTTCGCAGTGAAGACGTTACTTGATATATTAGTCTTAACTCGTTTTCGACTAAACGCTGTGCAAGTTGTAAATTAACTACGTCAGTTTTTTCTTTTGCATCAGCAACATTGGAAATTTTTCTACCATGTAAGTCGAAGTGACCTTCTGAGTTAATTTTAAAACCAATTTCAGGTGGACCTGGAGGTCCTCTTGCGACCCTTACAATTCCTCTTTCATTAAGAGGATGTCCGAACACATCAATGCTCATCTTAAGACTGAGAGAAAGTTGATGGAACACCTCCTTATATACTTTTCTTGAGCCTGACTAAATGAAACAATAATTTTCAATATATAATTTGCGCTTCACGTAATTTTTCTATGATTGACATAATTTCATTATTGTGACTGGGATTCCCAGCTGCTTGAGATGCCATAAGCAATCGAAGACGGTCAACCAATTCGTTAGGATCATCCCAATAGATATAGTCTGGTTGAAAACTTTTTTTACAATCATAAAATGTGGTAGTGAAGTGCCAGTTTTCGATCGTCTTTTTGGTGTTTCATTATGAGGAAAAAGTTTTAAAATAATATTGACATATTTAAAAGTTTTACTTGTACGTATAGGTTCAGAAGAACTATAATTTTTTCTGTGAGCATTGGAGATGATGAGAATTTGTTTATAATTATTCATATCATCATCGCTAATGTATGACATTTCAGGTTTATTTTTAAATAACAGTTCCAATAAACCGGAAGTAATATTAAAACGTTTATCACCAACATTTATTAAGGGGTTAAACCACTCTAGAATTTTCAAAAAATCAAAAAAATTTTTTTTGCTTTAAAAGGTGCCTAAGGGTGTATAGAATAAGAAACAATATCAATTATAAGTCGAAACACTTTTTAATTTGGAAGGTCAATTATACGGCGCAGGCATTGCAGATTGAAGGTATATCCAAAAAGTCGTAAGTAAAACTTTAAACTCGTTTTTCTCAAAACTACATTTTTTGTGCTGGCCGGAAATATGACTTTTACAATTCTCAACCGATATACTTAAAAATTAAACTGTAGCTTCTCAATAACATTATCTAGAGAAAGACGTACGGATTTTTTTTTATGTTGCATATTTTTTTTGTTATAAACAATTTAGTGTCAATTTTTTAAGTAAAAAACTCGGTTTTTCCTTAAAATGTTCGCCATTTTTGCAAAAATCAATTGAAAAAAAATCCCCTACGTCTTTCTCTAGCTTTTAAGATGTAAAAATAGAAAGAAATTTGTTTTTTGTTCTAGGATGAAAATTGGAGCTAAAACCTTTCCGGCCGCGACGTGATTCCTCTCAGAAAGGGTTCCTATCACGTACCTGTAAATTTGATATTTTAAAAAAAAATAATTAATGAAGTATATTTTTTTTCTCTTTAAAGTGTACCTAATAAAGATATGTAAACATATTTTTCAGTACATTTAAACTTTTCTTGAAAAAAATTTCTAAAGTTAGGCCTTTTTTTGACGCTCTAGAGTGGTTTAACCCCTTAAGTGATCTTTAAAACTTATTGGTGCATCACCAATCTTGAGAGAACCATTTTTAACCTTATATACGCCGTACAACGTATCTAAACATTGCTTTATATTATGATCTAGCAAGTATATATATTTATTAACTACTTTATCATATTCAAAGCCTGGAATTACTGATGTTTCATCTTCATCAGCACTCAAAAAATTCATACTATCATCTAATTCATCTTTACTTTTAATTACCTCCTCCTTCTTTTCTATCTTATGATTTTCATGTTTAACATCAGAGAGTTAACAATTTTCTCTAAGGGTTGAACTATAGGTTTAAAAGTTTCACTCAAAACATTTTCAACAGCTTCTTTTCCAATTTTTTAGTTCAAAGATGTACACTAGACTAATACTCATGGAACCAATCACCTTCTATTTATAGTGTAATGAAGCAGTCAAAACCTTTCCTATATCTCCCCTCATTCAGATTGCAGTCTTTATCAATGACTACGAAGCCATATTTATCAGAGTTCCAACATGTTGAACAAAGCTCACGAAACTTGGTAAATGCCATGTCTGTATTAACATGATCATCATACACATGTTTTAAATTTGTTTCATCCTGACGAAAAAGAACTAATAAATTAACATTATCTCTTACTAAATGTTTGGGAATCCTCGCATATGTCTGACAGAGATAAAAGCAATCAACATTGACATGTCTACTCATGCAGAAGAAAGCTCTTATATTATCTTTCTCTTCACAAGCAACGTCATCAAATATAAAAATAGAATTTGGCCTTGCACCTTTTGGGGAAATTACATCTTCATGCTCGCTAAATGGTAAATATTTAATTCCCTTAACACTACCTATAACTTTTTCCAAAAATTTGTACTTTGGTTGGTGAAGAGATTTTGAGTAGAGATAAATATTATTAAATCTCAGACCATTTGGATGTAAAATTAGAGAAAATAGTACATTTGTTTTACCACAATTTGATGGTCCACAAAAAATTGCACGAATACTACCAGACAACAAACTACCATGACGCTTCACTTGCTTCTTATCGTACTGTTCTACAATCGCATCTAGATTCACGACTGGAAGCTTGTGATGTTGTTGCTTGAATCGCATTCTGAAATAGACTGCCGCAAAAGGTATAAATACAGCCCTTATATAGCTTACGAGTCATTCTACTTTTAACTTTCATAGAGTGAGGTATGATTATACATCACCGCTCCCGAGGTAAAGGTTTAGTTAACAGTCTTATAAATAAGTAACCATTTGAATTACACATACCTGGTTATCAATACTGTGGTCCAGGTACTAAATTGATAAAGCGTTTAGCACGAGGTGATACAGGTATAAATCCATTAGACGAAGCTTGCAAAGAGCACGATATTGCATATTCAGAGAATCGTAATAACGTTCAAGCAAGAAACGCTGCTGATAGGATTTTAGCTGATAAGGCGTGGCAACGAGTTTTAGCTAACGATTCCAGTGTAGGTGAAAAAGCTGCTGCTTTAGCTATATCTGGTACAATGAAGGTCAAATCAAAATTAGGTATGGGAATGAGAAGAAAAAAGACATCTAAAAATAAGAAGAAGAAGCAGAAACAAACAGTATTAAGAAAAATTGTTGATGCTGCTAGACATTCCATTATTCCGGGAAATGATACTTAATCTACAGTCAAAGCTGCAGTTGAAAATGCTCGAAAAGCTATTAGAAGAGCAGGTGGTAGAAGTAAAATTTTAACACCTTTCATTCTACCAGTACCTTCAAAAGTTGGTGGTCTCTTACCATTAATTCCAATTTTTGCTGGACTCAGTGCTCTTGGAGCTCTTGCTGGTGGAACAGCAAGTATAGTGAAAGCAGTAAACAACGCAAATGCAGCAAAAGAGCAGTTGAAAGAAGCTCATCGTCACAATAGAGTAATGGAAGATGTTTCTTTAGGTAAAGGTCTTTTCTTGAAACCCTATCGACAGGGATTGGGACTTTATTTGAAACCTTACTCTAAAGGACTAGGTATGAGGCAAAAAAAAGATGTTTAAAAAAAAGTTCTCATAAAACTTCCTCAACGAGCATTAACTATGATTTGCTCAAATATTCTAAAGAGTTAAAAATTCCTCATTTTCGAGGAGTATTCATGCGAAATGAGTTGCCAATAGGAGGACCTCGGAAAAATGAATCTGCCATTATTAATCTCGATAATAAGGATGGTCCTGGAACACATTGGGTTGCTTATAAAAAGCTTCAAGATAAAGCATTGTATTTTGACAGCTTTGGTAACCTTCAACCACCTTTTGAGCTTATCAGTTATTTAGGCTATAATACCTTGATACAATATAATCATGACAGTTGTCAAAGTTATGATACTTTTCATTGTGGACACTTATGTCTTAAATTTCTAAGCGATCAACTCAAATTCTCTAACAAATATAACCTATATAAATACATGTAATCATATGTGAGCAATCAGTCTATAAAAAGTCATCATCATGGATGAATCATTTACTCTAACTATTTCAGGTAAATCATCTATACTTGAAGCAGAATATTTTCCACCAATAGAATTATTACCAAATAAAAATTATGCTCTTGGTCTTGTTCAACTTCTAACTTTTAATTCAATTCCTAATGTTGATGTAGGAAAAAATAAATTTTATCTTGGTAATGATGTGATTACTATACCTACTGGCAGCTATGAAATTGAAGATATTGAAAAATATATTCAAAATTCCATTCAACAAGGATCGCAAGTTATAAGCATTAAACCAAATAATAATACCTTGCGTTGTGGAATTATGACTAGACGTGAAATTGATTTTACACATAAAGATTCAATTGGTGAATTATTGGGATTCACTGCACGCATTCTCGAAGATAATGCAATACATACGTCAGATTTCACAGTAGCTATTCTTAATGTAAATGCTATTAGAATTGAATGTAGTATTACAACTGGTGCATATATTAACAATAAAAAAGTACATACAATTCATGAATTTTTTCCAATTGTTCCAGCTGGATATAAGATCGTGGAAGTACCATCTCAAGTCATTTATCTTCCAATCGCCGTGAAGACAATACATAATATTCAAGTGCGAATCGTTGATCAAGAAGGAAATTTAATAAATTTTCGTGGTGAAACTATAACAATTAGATTACACGTTAAGTCAACGTAATGGGTATAGTATTTTACAGAAAAACTGGTGGAAGCTATATAAACGAGCAACCATGTCAAAAAGCAATCAGTCTTCAATCAGTTCGCAAAAGGCTAACACCTCAGAACATACGTTTCCTACAGCAGCTCGGTCTACGAGTTTATCAAGACAACAAAGGAAGAAAAGTAAATTAATCATTAAAATATTTTTCATTTGCTGTTGTTTCTATAAAAGAAATGGAAGATATTCTAACCATTCTTAGACCAGTTAAATTTGATGATTCTCTACCACACTATGAGATTCATTCTCACCAACCCTACAATTCATCAGCATTTAATAATAGTGATGATATTCGAATTCCAGTTCAAAATCTAGATCAATACATTTTACCCTCAAAAAGTACATTACACGTAACAGGAAGATTAGTAAAAGCTAATAATACTAATGTGACTAACACAAAGTTAATTAGTAATAGCGTTAGTTTTTTATTCAACGAGATTCGTTATGAATTGAGTGGAGTGGAAATTGATCGCTGTAAAAATGTTGGTCTAACAACCACTATGAAAGCCTATGTTTCTCACACACCTAATCAATTAATTTATGCTGAAAATGCTGGCTATCTTGAATTCGATGACGATCTTAGAATAACCAATTGAGAATGGTTATTTTGATGTAAACATACCATTAAACATGATTTTTGGATTTGCTGAAGACTATCGAAAGATTGTTGTTAATGCAAAACATGAACTTATCCTCACAAGATCTCGTACAGACATTAATGCTATAGTTGATATTACGGCAACTGAAGAGCATGAGCAATTTAAGATTATAATTAATAAAGTGGAATGGTTCATACCATATATATTCCTTGGAGATCGTCAAAAAATTGAATTATTAAAATTTATTGAAAAAGACCCTCTTATATCTATGAGCTTCAGATCGTGGGATATGTATGAATACCCATTGTTACCTACCACTCAAAAACATGTTTGGACTGTAAAAACTTTTACGCAGGTTGAGAAACCTCGATATGTAATCCTTGGATTACAAATAAATCGAAAAGATCATCCTGGAAGATATGCAAATATTTTTGATAGCTGTAATCTCATAAATGTAAAACTTTTCTTAAATTCACAATACTATCCTTATAGTAATTTAAATTTGAATTTTAATCAAAATCAATTTTTCAATTCTCTATGAGATGTATTGTAATTTTCAATCATCATACTATGGTAAAGATCCTGAGCCTATTCTGTCCAGGAATGAATTTAAAGATTATGCACCATTAGCTGTCATAGATTGCTCCAAGCAAAATGAATTTCTTAAACAAGCTTCTATGGATGTGAAACTAGAATTTGAATCTAGTGAAAATTTTCCAGACAATACAGCAGCTTATTGTTTAATTATTCATGATCGAATTATTCAATACACACCAATCAGTAATGTTGTGAAGAAAGTATCGTAAAGAGTGGGGGTAAAAGTGAGTAGTGGGGGTAATGGTAAAAAAGTGGAGATAAGAGTATAAATACAGCAACTCTTAGAGTCTAAAGTCATTTATCTGTTATAGATACCATGGCGTACGTCGTAGATTTCCAGTGTTTCAAAAGACCTTATAACGAGTTTATCATAAAAGAGCTAGCAATCATCCCACTTCAAGAAGATGCTCATCCATTGGTGTTCCTCTTCGAGCCGCCATATGCCTGGAGCCGCCTACCGAGAAGATACAAGAGTCAAAATCGATGGACTGCATTTAATTATCATGGTATTGATTGGAATGCTGGTGACATACCTTATGAAGATTTACAACCAATTCTGAAAGAAATATTAATAGGTACACCTACAGTTTATGTAAAAGGTATAGAGAAACAAAAATGGTTAGAAAGCTATACACAAAATGTATTAAATTTAGATGATTTGAATTGTCCGTCGTTGAAAAAATTAGCCTTAGATCAATATACTCCATGTACAGTAGGGTGCAAAGATGCCTTCCCTCAGAGAAGGCACTAATTTCGAGTGATTTGCCTACGCTCTATGTTGTTTTCATGGTCAACTTTGCGGAATGTGGAACGGGAACTGTCAAATTGGAAAAATGAGAAAATGGGATATGTTATTGTTTTTATTTTGGTTATATTTTACAAGAAACGTGAAAATTAAGTGTTAAGTGTTGAAAAAATTATATAATATTAATAATAATAATAATAATTGTTTTGAAAAAGTGAAAGTGTAAAGACTTTATGAAATATTTTCTTTTTAAAATAGTAAATTGGTTTTTTAATCGTGTTTGCCAGAACATTGTTTAATTTTGTATATTTTAATTAATTTTGTATCTTTAAAAAGTTTACAAACGATAATTGTCAAGTTATTTAATTGAAATAATTTATTGATTACATAATATTTAATTATTATGAAGAAGTTACGAAAGAAATGTAAGGTTATGTGAATGGATTTTTGCGACGTTTGTATAGAAAAATATAAATATTTATAATTGTAACAATATTTCTTGTTACAAAATAATTAATGATAATAAAAAGTAATACATTGTTAACGATAATAAGCATTTATCAATTATTTCAAAGAGACGAACTTCTAATTATTTTTTAAAACAAGATATTTTTAAGAAATACACATGTTTACAAAAGTAAACAAGTTTCTTTTAATAACGCATATTATTTTTATTATAAATTATGAACTATAATATTAATAATTTCACTTTCTAATTATTCTAAATTAATTATTTTTAAAACTAAATATTATTATTTTCACATTATTCACAAAATGTAACAGTAAATTCAAAATAGTGGCAAAATTTTTTTTATCGTAAATTAAATATTTGAATCAAAATTTTAAATTATAATTTTTAAAATTACAAAATGTTTGTTTTGATAATGAAATAAATTGATTCTTTACTACATATGGTGTTTTTTTTGTAATATTCTCTGTATATTTTAGTTTGATAAATTTGTAATTCTATGTTTTGGTTTGTATAGTTAAACAGTAAGTTCTTAAAAATTAAATATTAATTTTTAATTAGTCATTGTTTTATTTGCAGTGGTAATTGTTTGAATGCTATTTAACAGAATTTTTGTGAAATCAATGCATGTAATTGCCATTTAACAAGATTGACATTTAATAAAATTACTTTTTGAATGAACTTTGATTTGGATAAATTTTAATGTTGGTAAATTTTTAAATGGCTCAAGTTTCAACAAGATGAGGGAAATTATTTTCATTTTATACATGCCAACTTTTTATTACTGCCGATAAACCTTGGAAATCAAAATATTAATCTATACTACCTTTTTTAATGTAGCGGCTTTCAAGTTTTAATCCTCACAACCATCGTTATACAGGTAATTTGATTAATTAATAAATTACAAACTATTTCCATCATAAAGTTTATTTTTTTAACTTATGAATAAATGAAATATCACAATTCAAAAAAATTTGCACATGGAAAATAGATTTACTTTTTGTGAATATTTTTATCTTATGTTTTTTGGAATTTTATAAAATAATATATATTAATAAATATATGGAATAATATTTATTATTCTATTAATATTAATATTATTATTATTATTATTAAGTTCAAAAAAAAAAATTTTTTTTAATTGAATTATTAAATAGCAGGATTTAAAAAAATCCATTTGTTTAAAATTTCATTTAGACAGCGTGCTAACTTTATTTACAGTGCAAACTTAAATCTGTCAGAATTCTAAAGTCACATAATTCTTTTTCATTAAAAATTACATTTTTTCCTAAACGAAGCATCTAATATGATATCATTTTTAATTGTAAATAAGTAATAATTTGATCTCAATTTAGAATTTATCAAGAATACAGACCTCGGATTGCACGATTTTTTCGACTTTTCTCGACTTATTTTAACAACTTACGACTTTTTCGACTAATTATACAACATTATTAGAAAATTTTTACAACAGTTTTCAACAAAATTTAAACTTTTCTAATATAAAATTGAAATTTTCCAAAATTCAATTATTCAAACAATTGTTGACTCAAATTGATACTTTTAATCAAATTCTTCGGAAAATCCATTATTAAAAACCGTTTCTCAATTAATAATTCGTTAAAATTCAATTATTGTTTCAACTTTTGTAAAAAAAATTTCATTTAAAATCTCTTGAAACCGAATTAGATACTTATTTCTAAAAAAAAAAACTTAATTGCAACTCTTTGAATATTTACTAATTTAAAAAAATTTCTCTCAAAAGTAATCATTTACAATACCTTTAATACAGTTTTTCGTGATTTCAATTATTTAATGACAAATCTAATTGACAATCCTAGAAAATTTAAATATTGTTTGAAACCAATAAAAAAATATTTCAGCAATCGAATTTCATAAAATTTTCAATTATTTGAAATCTGCTCAAGTTCAAACCTTAATAAAAATCTGAACTGCGGCTGATCTTTTGAAATTCAATTATTTTTAAAACCCTTAACTGAAATTCTTTACTAAATTCATTATTGTTATGCATTCAATCAAGTTATTCGAAAATTCTATTATTAAAAACTAGTTTTCAATTACACATCTAAAAAAGTCGCATATTCTCCGTTCTTCAATTGCATATTTCTTAAAATTTCCACCTAAGCTGTTCTGAAATTTAATTATTTCGAAAATTTTTATCTGAAATTTTTCGCCAATTTAAATATTTTTAATAATTTCAATCTATTTAAAGAAAAACATTTTTAATGTAAAAATGTATTTAATAAAAAAATTTATTTAATAAAAAAATGTATTTAAAATTTTGTAAAATTCAATTACACTTTAGAATTAGGGAATAATTTTTGACGGTTCCAATCTTTAAACATTTTTATTTAAAAATGACGTTTGGAAATGTTTGTCAGCCTCAATTTTGAATTTTCAAATTTTAATTAGAAATAATGTCACAAACTCGAAACTTTCTTTACTTTATTGAACTTTAGATTTTTAGAATGTAATTGTAATTTTTTGGAACATTTAAACTCAAAACTTTAGCAAAATCTTGAAATAAAAAAAATTTGAATAAGTCAAGCTTGAAAATTTTTTTGAAAATTGAACTTTTATGTATTTAATACATAATAACAATAGTTAATAATAATAAAATATTTATTAACCATTTAAATTTATTTAAAAAAAAGAAAATCGACTTTTTCGACTTTTCTTGCTATGTAAATCTACTAAATCAACTTTTTGTTCATCCTAAAGTCGATCCGAGGCTTGAGAATATTTTAATAGATTAATTTTTTAATTTTCGCTAAAATGCATTTGCCGAATGTTTTTTTTTTGGATGGATAAAATTTTGGTTCAGTGAGATTCTCATTTATTTAATAATTTTGTCAATTTAAAATTTGGCTAAATAAAAGTCTGAAGAAGCAATAAATATATAAAGAAACGAAAATTGTATTATATAATATAAAATTTCGGTTCAAGATTAAAAATGCTTTTAAATAATAATTAGATAGATTAAAATTCGGGTCAAGGAAAATGCATAATTAATTGAAAATTTAATTATTTAAAAATTGTGTTCAATGTAAATTTCATTATGTAGAAATTGTTCATTAGAAATTGTTTACATTGAAATCTTGCAGTAAGATTATACTGTAAGCTGTGCACACTTTGTATAGCAAACTTGCTGCAAGTTTTGTGCAAGTTTACGTGCTTGACGAGTGTGGATATTTTAGAAAATGGTTTGATTATTATTAATTGTTTTTACAGTGAAAAATACAAGACAAAAATGAAGGCTGAACAAAATATGGAGGTGTGTCAATGATCTGAAGGTGGACAAACATGAGTTTCCAGATGGACGTTGTAAAGAATATGGCGCGCGAAAAGAAGCTTGAGAAGACATAATTTAATGTGGTTTTTGATAGCTGTTCTGCTTGCTTAGGCAATTAATATAAAAAAAAACATAAACTTTCTGGCAGTCGCATCAAACTTTCTAACTCAGTTAATCGAAGGTGCGGAAAGTTCTTATCATCATAAGCACTTTAATGTTGTAAAATTTAAATTTAGGTTTTAAATGTTTATTAAAAGTAAATTATCATTTTTTTTGTTTATTATAAATTAAATTACAACAAATTTCTTTGCATTAAAAAATATCTACAGTTGGTAATTTTAATTTCAATATTATAAAAATGAAAATGTTAAGGAACTCGACAACTTTTTTAATATATAAACGAATATTAATGATAAATGCATGCATCGATCTATTTCTATTTTTTATAATTACGAGTTATATTTTATATTCAGAAATTTTGCGCGCATTCGGGGACTTTACTAATTTCTTTCGGAATAGAAATACTCGCATAGAGTTCGATAGTTAAAATATATTTTAGGTTCCTCTCTTTGCTCTTATATAACACTCTTTTTTTTATCACGAAATAAACAAAATTTTGTAAAATTACACATATTATTACTAATATAAATTCTCAAAACAAATAATTTTAGTTTTTGTTGAT